GGTCAAGGCAAAATATTGAGCTCAAAGCATTCAACTCAATATCAATTTGTAAGTTGACCCAAGTCTTAGATTAGTCATTTATCACAGCTGTATCTCAGAGTAGAAGGCACCACAGACTCTGAACATGGGGTGAAAGGTCCTGGTTGACCATTGACTTTTGGTGTGCTAGGTCCCTCCCCACGCACCTCACCCTGCTCCACACCAGTTTTCAGGTACATCAATGACACTTAAATACGTGCTTTTGAAATGATTTTTTTTTAAATAAGTTTCTTATGTTCACCAAGGTTGCATTTATTTTATGCAAAATACAGTAAAAACAGTAATATTGTTAAATATTATTACAATTTAAAATAACTTCTTTCTATCTCAATATGATTTAAAATGGAATTTATTCCAGTGATGGAAAAGCTGAATTTTCAGCGTCCATTACTCCAGTGTTCAGTATCACATGATCCTTCAGAAACCATTCTAATATGCTGATTTGGTGAACAAAAAAATAAAAAAATAAAATAAAAAACGTATTATTATCAATGTTGTAAACAGTTGTGCTGCTTAATATTTTTATCGAAATCGTGGTACTACAATTTAAAGGAAATTAATAATTCAGCAAGGATAAATTAAATTGATCAAAAGTGACAATAAAGACATTAATAATGTTGCAAAGATTTCCATTTCAAATGCTTTACTTTTGAAGTTTCTATTTATCAAAGAATCCTGAAACGTAACATGGTTTCCACAAAAATATGAAAAAACCACAACTATTTTCAACACTGATAATAATAAGAACCATTATTAATAATTGAGCACCGAATATTAGAATGATTTTTGAAAGATCATGTGACACTGAAAACTGCAGTACAGGCCCGTTCACACCAAGAACGATAACTATAATGTTAACTATAACAATACCTATATTAGCATACACACCAACGCACAGTATCGTTCTGTTTATTCTATAAGTGCTGCTTTAAATTCTCAGATGGATTCTGACTGTCAACATCAATGTTTTTATTGTTCAATAGCTGGGAAAAAAATCATTATAAAGTGATTCCAACAATACCACTTGTTTCCAACAATTGTTGCCTTATTAAAAAAGGTAGTAAATTGCTTTATGATGTTCTTTATTTATCATGGCAGAAACAGAACAGTTCCATGCTAATATGATATTTCAAACTCAGCAAAAAATCTGGCAAGACTCCAGTTATAATACATGCAAAATAGGTACTTTAGATTACTGTGCATATTGTGGAAATGATCATAGCCATACCATGTGATTGTCAAGTTTACTCTTGTAAGAAATACTGTAAAGTAAAGTGAGTGAGAGCTCCTTTTTTCGAGTTGCATCAGTTGCATGAAATAACATTGATGTTATTGACAATTTCAATGCAAATTGGACACAACGGTTGTTAGCGGAGTCATCACAGCTAACATTTAAAGCAACACAGATCAAAAGCTTGGTGTGGTGTTATTACGGATGTTGAAAAGTACAGCAGGAAGAAACCAAGCAGCAGGTTTGCTTTTATCAAGTCTGATCAAACTTACAAGGACATGACTGCATGACATTTCTGTGACCTTTTGTTTCGGCCTAACAGAGTCCATTCCGTGGGTGTGTCCAACCACAACGCCACAGGCACCTGTCTCTGTGAAGGTCAAAGTGCTGTTTTTCCTCTGTCTATAGACATGCATGTTTTATGAATATCAGGCATCATTTAAGCAATATTTAAACTAATTAATTTTAATAGTTACTCTCCCCATCCAGCCACAACCAGTTTCCGCAATAACAATTCAGCTTTGGTGTCAATTATTTATCAATTCAATATTAAAGGGGATATAACACACACAGTTTCTGTCAATCTCATGTTAATCTTGAGTACCTATAGAGTAGTACTGCATCCTTCATATCTGCGACGAGTCTTTAGTTTTATCAGATTTATAAAAGAAAGATAGAACTCTCCGATTCTCTCCGAAAACAGCCGAGCTCCTGGAGGCGTGCCGTGGGCGGAGCTAAAGAGTCGCCAGCACTTACTATTGAACAAAACAGAAATTTGATGCAGTTTTACTCACCGCCTGCGGTTTCGACTCATATGATGAAGGGGATTTTTTTATTGCTGGGACCATTCCATCTTTCAGTATCAAACGATGTGCAAATTCAGAGTCGAACTGGGCCTTGTTTATAAAATATTCATCAGTGAAATGACAGGAACAAACAAACACACTTGAAACTCTGTTGCTGTTGCCCGGAAAAACAAACTGCATCCACTGTTCACATAACGCTGGGTTCTTTGGGAAGCTGAACAAGGTTATCTTTCCCTCACATCCAAAAACACACTTCTTTGGAAACATTCTTCTCGAGCAAGTCCTGTGCAGCGCTGCCCACACTTCTGTAACCCGAATGAAGCACGTTAATGGGCTTCTGGTTGATGTGTGCGCGCGCTCTTCTTCTTCAGGGTTGCCAGGTTTTCACAAGAAAACCCACCCAATCGCTATTCAAAACTAGCCCAATAGCGTTTCACCTTTTTTTTGCGGGGTTCCCTGCTAAAATTCGCATTCCAGGAGATAAATATCATGTTATTGGAGTCACTTCCACACGCGGACATGAAAAACAATCCGCGGCAACAGTGTTAAAGTAACCCAATTCCGCGGGGAAACCGCAGACTTGGCAACACTGGAATGGGGTAAACCTGCACTTTCAAATAGGAGCTTATGCTGATAACTTTTCTTGTCTAAAACAAGAGAAAATCCGTATGATGGATGACCAAGAGACAGGCCCTCCCATGAGACCAGGCTGGCGACTAATCAATAGACTGGCAGTGTGGCCTGGCTCCAGGGCTCCATATCAATCATAATGCACAAGCCTTGTATTCTGCTGTTATCTCGTTGACAGCACACAGTAGGCCAGGGACGATTTGTCTTATCCATTACTTTTGGCAGATGGACCACAAGGCAACTGAGCTGACACTAGGGACTGACAAGAGTGAGAGAAACATTCACCATAAACAGTAAAAAAAAGATTGAAACTTAAAGTTTAGCTTATTAAAGACCAGAGTTGAGAAACACGTAAAAATTTAGAGACGGACATTGACTTGTATGTGTTCCTTCATTCCTTCCATTGACAAAGAGGTGTGTGTCCTCATCGTCTAAGTAATTTGAGAGGTTTGTCCTGCCCGGCTCTCCTCCATTGCTTCATGCCCCTCAAAAACAGATGCCATGCACTATAATCTAAATGTGGCACTAGGATTATCAACACATTGCTCTTGTCAGCCTTCCTATAGTACTGCTTACAAAAGACTGCCCTGGTGGGCCTTACTCTACTGTGGCAATTTAGGGCCACCTGGTGGTGAAAGCCAGTTAGGACATTGCACCTGTTTGTCACACGTTTTTTTTTTTTAAACCGCCGTGCCAAAAACAGAGCCGTGGGGTAAGGAACGGAACAAGGTGTTCCTGTGCTCAAAACAATCATATGTCAAGAGAGTCAATTAGCAGAAGTGCTGACCCACAGCTTGTTTACATTTTATTTGATGAGGAGCTTTGTGCGCCTATTTAAAACCCACATATTGCTCTGTTCAATAGTGAATATTTATCAGGAAAAAAATAATTCTAGAATAGCTTGTATGGATCTAATAAGACGCTTGAAACAGTGCTATTTCAGCCCATGCTGACTCGACGTCACGTCACACATTTCTTGCTGATTTTCCAAAACATAAATCCCTTATTTTTAGTTATGGGACAGTTAATACCGGGGCTCCGAAGCAGTTATCAAAGCACTATTGTATCACATACTGTACCGACGCTTTTATCGAAATGACAATACCACGTGATTGATGACTTTTGAAGCTTCGAACGTCGTGCAGTATCCAGCTGGTTTGAAAAAATGCCCCTCGTGTTTGACTTTACATTAACTTGGTTGTGTGTGTACACTTATATGGGATTCAGTATAGTTGAGTATAGTAGAGTCGTCAACTGTAACCTTAACACCAGACAGAAACTTAATGCACGTCACACCTCTGTTGCATTTAATCATGTTGTATAGCTGGGGTCTCAGAGACCCCGAACAGCTCACCCAAAATATATATATATATATATATATATATAATTGATCAATGTGTGAATCCGTTGACCAGACTACACGACACGAATTGTGTTCTCATTGGCACAAATTAAATCAGATTACATTAGATCAGATTAGAACTGTATTGATCCCAGACTGATCGGACTTCCGAAGCCTTGTTTGGTCACGTGCTTTTTCAAACGTGCCCCTGCTCCACGACTTCACCAGATGTCGCTAACGCGCATGGTGTTAAAAGCTTCGAATAATGAACCGTTTTTCGACAATTTGATGAAAGCCTCAAACGCTTCAGAAAGCCTCGGGTTCCCCATCACTACTTATTTTCTTAAAATTAAAGCTATAGTGAAGCACTTACAGTGGAAGTGAATCATGGTCGTAATTTCAGATACATTAATTCTTATGCTAAACCATGCATGGTATTTGATTTGTAAAGCTGTTCATTTACATATACCTTTTTCCCTTCCCCAATGTTCTTCAGCAGCAGTCCTCAAGCTCCATGGGCCCCAGTTGTGCAAGGCAACATTCGAACACCCCACAGACAGCAAACAATAATTCTGGTACCTCTATAAAACTTCTCATCTTAAACTTACAAACTAATTGTGACTCCAGAAATACAGTACACAAATAATGACTGACAGAACAATATAATAGAAATAAAGACAGCACATTCTATATCCTTGTCATTTTATTATTAGTCATCTTGCAGTACCCTGGCTGAAAACCAGTTCTAGGTCCATGAACACTGGAAGGAGGTCACAAGGTGTGAAGCCTTCTTGTGCTTGCATTATAAAACTTAATCTTCCATGAAAATCAAAGCTTATGTAGGCTATAGTGTATTTGCAAGTATTAGGTTGATACTGTTACATAATCATGTATTGGAATGCAGTGTACACAATGTTTAATAAACAAAACAAAAGAACGTAAGTCAGATGTCAGTTTTAAGAATGAACACATTTTAATGGTTAATACCATCAATATTTACAAAAGTTCTCAAAGTATATCACACATGTGTTGCAGCTCTGAGTGCGCTTGTGTAGATTTACATTCAAGCATTTACCACGGCATGTACAGTTACCCAGCAGTGATGAGCAGGCAGCCATGCGGCTTTGTCCCAAGGCTCTGGGTGGGTTGCACAGACAGCTGAGATCCACCGAGGAGGATCAGCAACCTGTAAAAGTCTCTGAAAACACACATGCATCCGTTGGCAGAACAATGCATGCACACTTCTCAGCAATTACACTGCGACAGCACGTTACTGCAGCGCTCTTACACCGCGTACACAAAGGGTGGAGCGGGTTTACCTGCTGGCCACGTGATGGTGGCCGTACTGGGGCGTGGCGTACACGTCATCGCGCAGCTGTGACGCAGAGCGTTCCGCCTCCCTGAGTTGGAGTCTGCGCAATGCTGTGAGAACAAGGAGAGCCGACAAATTAAACCACATTCAACTCAAAAAGAATCGTGTCGAACGCCTGGGCTTTCATGAAACATTGTTTTATACGATTACACATTTACAGAGTTAATATTAAAAGCACTGGCATTTTCACGCACGTTACTGGCTATGGGTTCACAGCTGCCCGGTCGTCTCGTTCCAACGAAATCGAGTCAGGTTTCGGAAACACGTCAGATTTCATTCCTGAAGAACACGTTCTCTAAGTCTCTCTGTTGGAAGTCCAAAGATCTGTCGTAATCGGAGTCCGACACGGAGAAAACGCTCTCATCAAATGGGACATCACTCTGCATTGAGAAATCGTGGCTTACGTCACATGCCTCCATTGAAACGTCTAATCGCTCAGCGTACACCAGGTCCATTAAATATTGCGTTGTGTTTCTTGGTGCCATGGCTACTGTTAGGTAACTTTGATTCCCCGTAGCTGTACTGTCGACACGGTCCGGACTCCGCTGCGGTGTCGCGGCCGACCAGACGCGGACCCTTCGCCTCCTTTCGCCCATATTTGTGCGCAGAAATGTCCTCCTCTTTGGTTTTGACCACTTTTTCTTGTGAACAGGCGCGGTCTTGATGTCCTTCTGGTAGTTTCCTTTCATTGTCGTGATTTCAAGACACATTACCAAGAAGAAAAAAAAAAGTCTTTGTTTGTCCAAAAGTAAAAGATGTATAAAATTATCACTTAGTGGTTAAAATAGAACAAAGAAAGCTTTTAAGCCCTTAAAAAAACTTCCACAAAAGACACGAGTCTCGACAGCTTACTCTTCCACGACCGAAAGATAAACGTGGCTAACGAACGTGTGTCTCACGTACTTAAGGAACTTGCGGAAGTGACGTTTTCCGCTTCCAGCGAATCAGCGTTCACCTCCTCTTATTCGGCGTTTTTGCGACCATAGAAATAAACACACTGTGCCCCGTTAGCAACTGTTGGTCCTTTTTTAGCAACATAATTAAACATGAAGAAAAGCCATCGGGAACTTTAGAAACAAACTTACAAAAAAGTACAAACGAACCAGCACCATTTTACATGTTAATAGATTACTGAATAGTTTAATCTATACATCCGTGAGTCCACCACATTGAAAAGGTCAATATCTGCTAGTAAATCACGAATTGTTTATTTACAGATTAAAATTATTTGGTTTGACATAAACATCAGACAATTCTGCATATTGCAGATGATATAAAACTCCACAATGACATTAGTAAACCATTTGTAAATTAAACCGATGGTCATAAAGCACAGCCTGACAAACTTAAGGGGCCGTTCACACAGAACACAATTTTGTATTTCACCGCACTGCTTTTCCATTGTTTTTCTATGTAAACGTGCTAGTCGGACATGTTAGACCGTTTGACCTTTTGCAGTATCTCTAAAAAGGCCTTATATGCCATTAACGTTTAAAACTGTGAGATAACCTTGTATCAACGAAGATAATTTGTTCTGTGTTCATACTTCACATTAGGTTAGCCAGTCTGATTTGTTCAGCTAAGTCAGTAACTTTAGGGAGATAGTCAATTTAACCGTAATATTTATCCACTCTGCTCTTTCTGCCAAGAGGAAGAAGAATCAATTTCACATTTATTCTATTTCTGTTATTATTCTAAACAATTCTGGCTTCAAATATCAGCTTCCCTATTTCTTGTGTTCCACCAGCTCTGTGGTATTTCCATCAGTAAGGTTTTCTATTCTGATATTTCTGACAATAAGGAGTTATATGATGTCTTAAACATTATTGTATGATGGGTAAATACCATATCCACAAAGATACCTTAAATTTAAACCCAGCTGCAAAATATTTGCTTCTGACCTACATTTATTATTGTCATCACTTCAAAAAGTCTCCACTAATAAAGTCTGCCCGAAGACATCTCTTATTATAGAACGTTTTTAAGTAAATTATAATTTGTAAATATATCTAATGTGTAAATATATATATATATATATATATATATATATATATATTCCCTCTCTTCTCTGTATTCCCCCATATGTTCTATGTTCTGTATTATTTGTTTCTTTTGTATTGCATTATATTTCTGCAGTAAAAAAGGGGAGATAAAAACAAAAATCCATATTTTTGTAGTAAACTCAAACTAAAGTTGTCTACAAAATGCGTTGTGGAAAACATCTAGAAGAACATCACCCAAACATGTAATTATCCTACGAATTTGTTTCCCAAACAAATTAAGTTTATTTAGCGCACTGAAGTGCCTTTTTGACCGCTCCAAAATGTCGGTGCTCCCAGACCACGTAAGAATGAACCTGCCTCTTGAATCTCTCTGCTGCCATCTTTGTATTGGAGAGATTTATGAAAAATAAATACATTTATTTGTCAAATTAAACTTGATATGCATCCATCTTTTCTTCACCCATATGTGTGAGGTGTGTTGTTCTTTTGACTCTAAATACAAAGACATTCTTTTACTAAGCAAAGTGACTTGCCTGTATCGAAGGTAAAAAAGGCATTTGCATTACTGCACCTCCATTTACAGTAGGCTACAGCACCGCCAGCAGTTTTAGTCCAGCCGATCTAGGCCAACAGTTTCGGGACTCGAGTTTGTAAACATGACAAGTGACAATGTAAAAATGAAAGAGAGCACACCTGGTCTTATCTTAGTGAGTATCGAGCTTATCATGCTTCTTTTTGCCGATTATAATTGTGCTTTATATGAGACATACGTGCAACATCTGATCTCGACACTAAGCTGCTCATCGAGTAGACATATGGTTTGAGACCACGACAGCTGACACAAAACGGGATGCTTTTCACGTTCCTAGTTATGGAATGGTTGTGTTTATGGCTTAATTTATAGACACACGTACGTGGTGCTTTTACACGGGGCAGTTTTCCTTTGTTGTACTCTATTACTGGTATAGAGTAAAATACTAGAAATCAAAGTTCCTGGAGTATTAATTTGTAGTCTTATTTTTCTTTTAGACACACACAACGATTCAGAAAGGCCACTCACTGCCCCCCTTACATCAATGCACGACGTGCTGCAGCGGTTTCCACTGCCCCTTTTGCTCTGAGAGTGTATTTAAGTCTACCAGAAATGACAAATTAAAACTGCACATGACAAGACATTTTAACAGGGCCGTTTTCTACGAGGGTGCGTACATCTACAGTGTGTTGTTTTGAATATAGAAATATACAGGCTTTGTTACGCAATATTTCCACAACTATACCATTTTTCATGCTGTAGGTTTCTCCATTCACAGATGTGGATTTGACTGTCGACCATCACTACATTATCATTGTCCCTACTGCAAAACTACAGTTTTACGAAGAAACGATTTTGAAAGTCATTTAATTGTTTGTAAAGAAGCACATCCTGAGAGGTAAGCCTAGAATACGAACGCTTTCGTTGGATTGTAGGCTTTAAAATAACGTTTTTTTATTTCAAATAATGCGGTACGATGTGAAACAAATGTGTATGTTTCTCTATCAATTACACATTTTTAAAGATTTACGCTAACATACATAAATTCATGTTTAAGACAATCTTTATACACTACTTTTCCCTGACTTTTTTTTTTTACATTGTGATATAACAGCAGTCCAGTAGGTGGCGGTATGTGCACTCGAACCGCCATGAATCAACGGCAGAAGAAATGAACGTAAACCCTCCATTTTCTCTTCTAGTGCCCTTCACTTGTGCACTAGCGCCATGAGTAGCGCACTTGATGACTCAAAGACAACAAACGCAAGTATGGACCACGAACTTTACACTGTACAGAGTCCCTCGGAGGACATTAAGGATGGCCCAGATCATGCAGAATTCATTTATAAAAGTGAGTAGCAATTAACTTTATGCATTTAAAGTCCCAATGCATTTAATTAACTGTCCCATTTTAGCAGTTTAGCATTGAGCGGGCCACGTAAATGGGATGCATGCACTATACAAATCACGTGTCCTACCGTTATTAACATCTGCATGTGTGTTTCTGTGTGTGCGCTTCAAGTGTCAAATGAAGAATTTGTTAGATTCGTGAAGTTGCGTGTGACCAACGACTCACTTTTCACTGGAAAGAGAAATTCTTCAACTCTGGCTTATAGGTAAACCATTTCACAGACAGTTACACATGCATGCTCACACATTTAAGTCTTTGCACCAATAAAGAAGTATACAGTAGATGTTTATGCCAACAACCTGCAGCAGTTAGTGTGTAAAGTCTGCATATCTTTGTGCCATCATAGGGCCATCTTGAAAGAGCTGGGTCTGCAAAGGGAAATTTCTGCAAGCCAGGCCAGGAGGAAATGGGAAAACCTTAAGATGAAGTATAAGGTATGCTAATGCCATGTTATGAGTGTTCAGTAGTTCTAATTTCTGTACTGATAGATATTAATACTAATATGTAAATTTTAAATGTCATATTTTCATGAATGTATTATATGCATAAACATCATTATTTAAAATTACAGAAAATTAACTACATTACATTTGAATATTACACATCAGAATAATATATATATAATTAAAACATAAAAAATTAAAATATATGAAAAAATTATATAAAAATTATTAAAAATATATAAAAAGATACATATCATTTATTTAAAAAGTATGGTGCATGAATGCATTGTATACATACGCATTACTTGAATTAAAATTATGCAGATTAACTAAATGCCATTTAATTTAATGAATATAAACATCTGACCTTCATTAAATGCCATTATATATTAATATTATGATTATTTACATTACATAATTATGAACATCATACTGTGTCGTTACACAAACCTAATCTGCAGGAACTTGCACTCTGCTTGCTCACCACTCGTAAACTGTTTGTGTCTGTGTACCTTGCGTGTATCAGGAAATGAAGAATCCCCCACCTGGCGTCTCGGTGAATCCCACTAACTGGCCGTGGTTCTCCCTTATGGACGACGCCATGGAGGGTAGACTCGCAGGAAGTGAAGTCACCCTAGACACTTCTACTGTGGGCGATGACAGCGAGTATCGCCCGAACAACACCACACGCCGGAGAAGCAAGCGAGCGCGTGATCTGGACAGAAGCGAGGTCGAGCTGTTCGTCGAAGAGGATGACATGATGTCTGAAGAAATGGGGCGAGACAGGGTAGAGCTCGACAGAGACAGGGATGAGATGGAGCACGAAAGGGCCATCCTAGAGAGCGACAAAGCTGCTATTGAATACGAGAGGATGGTCCTGGAGCGGGAGAAGATGGTTTTAGATCGAGAAAGAGCAGGAGTAGAACGAGAAATCGCAGCATTGGACCGAGACAGGGCCTCTCTGGAGAGAGACAAGGCCGCTGTGGAGAGAGACAGGGCCTCTGTGGAGTACATCCGAGCTCAGCTGGAAAAGGAAAGAGCGATTCTTGACAGAGAAAGGGCAAAGCTTGAACGAGAGCGAGCCATTCTAGAGCAGCAGCGTGGGACGGAAAAAGGGAAGCAGACGGCTAATCTGAACGATAGTACAGAAGGAACTGATACCTCGATTCCCTTAGTGATGGAACCAGCTTCCTTAGAGAGGAGGCAGAAATTCCTCAACCTGTTTGAAAAGCTCATCGAGAACTTCTAAAATGGAACTAACTGTTCTGAATGGGACCCATTATGTATATGTCATTTTTTTGTACACCTTCTGTTTGAAGTAAAACTGTTTTCTGTTGCCAGAAGTGGATTGTGCTGTGTTACAGTGATTGGTTTTGTAATGTTAATAGCTATGCTTGTTTAAGTGAGCGATAAGTGTTGCTTTCATGCCTTTGAAGACTTTACAAGTGAACAATGAAAACGTTAAGCCACCTCTGTTTTGGAGAGGTCATCAGAAAACTTTATTCAGGTGTGATTA